TTAACTAAGCTATAGAGAAGAACATTACCAAGAGCTTTCGTGCTGATAACGTGTTATAAAACTAGAGAATATGTAGGGAGAAATAAGAGGAAGAAAGAGACAGTATAATTTGCTCAAATCAACTTGTCTTTCATTCATATTTGGTGCCACTATTTATAGGAGCAGAGATACCTGAATCACCTACCACCCATAATTGATAGGTTACAAATACATTGGTTGGTAGAGTACAAATACATTGGTAGGTTACATGTATATAATGATGGATATTATTGTGGGCATCCATAACCTATAAACCCATAACGTATGGATTTATAACATTTATGGCGTTGATTGTCTGTTACTTTTTTAAACAAAAGTTATTATACCCAACTGGAAGTGATTTTGACATTCACATAATTATTTCCAAATGAGTCCTAAAAGTTCTTTTTATCACACGTATTAAATATTTTTAAGTGTTTTTAATTAAATTTCAACTAAATAATAAGGAGTATGATTATTGATGTTGTATAATCGTTGCAAAAGTCATCAATAAAGGTGAAACTCATATAGATATAGCTCTGTTTTAATATAAAGATGAAATTAGGGCTAGAATTTTAGACCGACCTACCACTAATGTGATAAATATTATAAAAATTATGCACCCATAGAGACTCGAACACCCAACCTGCTAGCTGGAATGAAGGGTCTTTGCCACTGTACTAATTACTCTCTTGTGAAATACAAGCATAATCATGATATTTAAAAAACTCCTAAAATAATTTAAAAATACATATTATAAAAATGTTAGGGTTTTAACCATCACACTCCTTTTTATCTCCATTCGCCTCCTCTTATTCTCTCTCTCTCTCTCTCTCCCTCTCTCCCATCGTTTCTTCTTCTTATTCTCATCTTCTCTTCCTAACTACGTTGCCGCACATCTACATTTAGTTTTTCTCCCAACAATCACTTCTTCATCTTCTCCTTTTCTTCTCTTCTTAATTAGGGTCTTGATAGAATGGTATCAGAGATTAGACCCAGACCGAAATTGTGCCAACAATAATGTTGGACCCCAGGGAGGGTAGATTGTAAGACCTGTGACCCCTGAAGGATATAAGGTGAGAAGGGGCAAGATGAGTGAGAAATCTCACATCACTCGAGGAGGAAAATGTGAAGTGCCATATATATGGGGCACTTGACTTCTTAGCAAGAGGCCTTTTGGGAAAGATGACATAAGCTTGAGCCAAAAACTCAAGGACATCTTGCTAGGGGAGTCGGGTTGTGACAAAAACTCATACTCAATATATATTGCGTCAATTATCTCAACTGAAAAATAAGGTCAACATGCTCCTCAATATCTAACTCGAAAATATACTAAAAACCTCACAAAACTCATACTCAAGGAATGAGCTGACCAACCTCACACGTATGTCCAAGTTGGAGTTTACACTCCGAGTTGGGATGGCAACCAAAGTCCAAGTCGGGATTTATACTCCAAGTAAAGGCCATAGCCCTATGCAGAAAATAAATAATAAACAAATGACAAGGGTGGAGTCCAAAGTGAAACTCAAAGGTGGGCTAGTGTAGCCTGATGGGGTTATATATATATAGGGCACTTCTCCATTGCGAAGTCCCATAATGCGAATTGGTTACGGAATTGAATTTTTGACCGTACGATTGATTTGAACGGTTTAGATCTATTCTTCATCTTCATGAGTTCACTCCTATCTCCTCTCTCCTCTTTCTTTTTTTATTCTTCTTTTTTCTTTCCTTTCCTTTCCTTCTCTCTTCCTTTTTTTCTTCTCTCTCCGTCAGTTTTCTTCTCTCTTGTCATCTGGTGATTTTTTTTTTTCTTCTTTCTTCTGGCTAGTTGGCTCTTTTTTTCTCTCTCTCCGACAACACTAATTGTCACAGACTCATTCGCTCCCCCCTCCCCTCTGTTTTTTGGTTGTTCTAGCTGCTGTGAGTGAATCGAAGAGGGCAAAATTTGAGATTGCTTCCTTGATATCTGTTGATGGCAGAATTATAGCAGATGACTTCGTGGTGTTCTTTTTATTCGGGGGACTTCTCTCTTCAGATAGCAATAACAAAAATTAGTGTTGTCAGAGAGAGAAAAAAAAACAGAGCCAACTAGCCAGAAGAGAGAAGAAGAAAAAAAATCACCAGATGACGAGAGAAGAAAAATAACGGAGAGAAAGAAGAAAAAAAGAAAGAGAGAAGGAAAGGAAAGAAAAAATAAGAATAAAAAAAGAAAGAGGAGAGAGGAGTGAACTCATGAAGATGAAGAATAGATCTGAACTGTTCAAATCAATCGTACGGTCAAAAATTCAATTCCGTAACCAATTCGCATTATGGGACTTCGCAATGGACAAGCGCCCTATATATATAGGGTAATGATTTCCCAACTCCAATTTTATCCACTTATACTCCTTTTTAGTTATAAAATGGAGTGTAAGTGGATAAAATTGGAGTGGGGAAATCACCACCATATATATATATGTATGTATGTGATCATGAGTGATTGCTAAAAGCCAAAAATGGCTAAACTATTAGCAGCAAAGCTACTTTCTTTGGTTGGCCATGTTTTGGCTTTTGTCAAATAACCAAAGTTGATAAATGATTATTTATATTTATGTATAATGGTTTGGGCGTTAGTAAAGGCCATGAAATGGCCTACATAAACATATAATTATCATATATGTAAATGCTATCATGCTTGGTGTTGGTGATTAATACATATAAAGGACATAGTAATTTCTTGGCCAAAGCATCAGGTGGGAGTCTCAACCAAGTCAAAAGCTCCAAGTGCACGACATCTCACCTGATGTTAAATAAAGTCCAAGTTCAACCTACGAAGCTAAGTTCAGAAGTTCCAGCAGAAGTCTCCTTGTAAGTGGTGGAATTCAAAAATGGGAAAACTTGTAGCCAACCTACCAAGACTTATTGCATCCCAGATCAAGAGAAGAGTTTCACAATCCCAATCCATTTCCATTGAACAACCAGATGGGTTGGTGGTTGTTGGGAAGTTCTCATCAAATGCCTAAAGCCCCGAAAGGCATTAATCTTGTAAGGATTTTCAATGAAAGCTAATTGTGTCCATTTAATGGCCAAACCCGTGAGTTGAAGAAAGCTCTATAAATAGCTTCCTTAGAAGAAGAGGAAAAGACCTCCAACTCAACACACAAAACCTATCTTTTTATCCTGCACCTTTCAATTCCTAGTCTAGGATTTTATCTTTCTAGCACTCTAGATTATCCAAATTCTTCATTTTCCTAGTGTAAGCTTACTTGCTTGCAGTTTAATTTCAGTTGTCTTTAAATTCAAGTTTAATTCAAATCTTTATCGCTTTAATCTATTTTATCGCATTTACATTTATGTCATTTCGTTTCTTGCATTTACATTCATTGCATTTATCACCAAAATCCTAAAAATTGTCATTCAAAGCTCAATCATCATTGACCTCCAAGGAAGTGAAAGAACTTAGGCCAAGAGGAGGTTCCTTACTTGACCGATCAATCGTTTGATTAGAAGTTAGAAGCGCAAACACACTCACACAATCTTTCCATCTAAGTCATCAAGTGGCTTGGTGATGACACACGTACGCATCTCAAGTAAAGGACCAAAAAAATCCTTCATTTGGCCTCCTTGGCCAAAAAGAGGGAAACACTAGGGGAGGAATCATAAAGGTGGTTTGAAAGCCACTTTCTCAAGCTCCAAATATATATAGCCATATATAATCATAAATAGTCGTAAAGCCAATCGAGAAATCATAGTGGCTCAAAGCTATTCATATATTTAAAACCACAAAATCTCAAGAAAAAACCAATTAAATCACATTGAAAACATAAAAAGCTAGAGACGATAGTTAAACCAAGTTTCATTCAAAACCATCAATATGCAAGGGTTTATAATTTGAAAGACCGCTGTACTTATTTCAAAACAAAACTCACTCAACGAGATACGACCAAGCTCGATCCTCGATGGGATTGTCCTGAAAGGAGGGGTTGGGGGCAGGTCTGTGCAGCAGGGAGATCAATTTTGGATGGATTTGGGGCTGCCGGAGAAAGGGGAGGAGTGGGTGGCGAGACTTGCATTTTTGTAAGCACAAGTGAGAAGAAGGGCATTTTAGTGGCTTATGAAAGCACT